GAGGGAGGGAGGGAGGGAGGGAGGGAGGGAGAGAGGAAGGAAGGATGGAAGGACGGGTGGACGGACGGAAGGAAGGAAGGAAACAAGGGAAGGGAAGGGGAGAGGAGGGGAAGGGTAGAAGAGAGGAGGGGAAGGGAGGGGAGGGGAGGGAAGGGAGAAGAAAAGAAGAAGAGAAAGAGAGGACCAAGTAAGTATAGGGATATTGCCTAATCTGTTTTTGCAGAAAGATTTTAAATATAAAGGTATAATCATATATACATACTAACTTTTACATACTAACTTTTCTTCTAATATGCTTGCCATCAAAAACAACTTCAGAACATGCAAGTTATATTTCTGTCCTCTACAGCAATTAGAGACTACCCAAAGTATCTGCATGCAGTGAGTTTGCAAACATCAGGCTGTTTTTGAAAACAAATGACAGGTGCGAGGTGAGAACCTTGAGCCAGAGAGGTGTGCTAGTTAGTCTGGACTGTGAAGCTGTGAGCAATCAACAGTCATGCTGTCAGCTAAACTATCCATAGTTCTGCAATCTGGACTCAGACAACACAACAAGGCACTAGAAAGCCATGGGTCTCCAGGTCACAGAGTCTACACACTGTGATTTTTTTTATGTCAACCATTCTCAGATAAACAAAACAATTCCCACACTAAGATCATATAGCAGTGGCAAGGGGCACAATTAGTTTTAACCACTTTCTTTGGGACTCATATTCCCAGGTGGAAAAGATGAAGGCAATTGGTGACTAAGCTACTTGGAGCTGGAGAACCACGCCTCTCTGATGTCCCTGCAGTGTCAGCAGTGCCAGCTGGGATGCTGGCATCCCCAGGAGGACCTACTACATCATCATCATCTTCCTCCTCCTGATCCTCGCTGTTTGTATGGCGCCAGGAGGGCATGCTCACCAGACGAAGGGTCTTCAGCCCTGCTGGCTCCTTTAGTCACCAACCAAGGCAAAGACACAACAGAGGAACAGGCAATTCACAAGACAAAGATGAGATGGAAATGAATGCAATATTTCTTAAAAGGTAAAAACAAAAAGGAAAATATCCTACTACCTCCAAAAAGAAATACAAAACCAAATCAAAATTAAAGCTGATGATCACATGGAACACTTCTTATGTTGAAACACACTTTCAGTTCTCCACGGTCACCTAAGAGAGTCTCTGCTTTTGTGACTCCACTAAGGGAGAAACATATCCTGAGATGAACTGAGAATTACTTGGATGCTATTTGTTGAAAAGATGGTATGACAATATCATAACACACGAAGGTTTTCAGAGGAAATTAAATCAGTATTTTTACCCTGTTCTGTAAAAAATATCACCAAAAAGGATCACTTTTCAATACAAAATCACTATAAATTAATAAAATATAACACCCTCAATGCCTAAGACATCATTTTAATGGCTGAATAACATCTAGCACAGTGAAAATAAAATTCTGGTGACTTAATAGACTTATAAATGAAGACCAAGGAAAACCAGAAATTATATGTATTAGTTTTTTTGTTTTTGTTTTTTTTTGTCTGGTCGTGGGGCCTGAACTCTGGGCCTGGGCACTGTCCCTCAGCTCTTCAGCTCAAGGCTAGCCTTCTACTACTTGAGCCACAGAGCCACTTCCGGCTTTTTTCTTTTTGCTTATATGGTGCTGGGGAATCGAACCCAGGACCTCATGCATGCAAGGCAAGCGCTCTACCACTGAGCCATCTTCCCAGCCCCTACATGTATTAGTTATGTTAACAAAAAGTTCTGAGCCAGGGCACAGTTAGTTCACCTATAATCCTATTTACGTAGGAAGCTGAGAGCTGAGGATCATGGTTTCAAAGCTAGCCTAGGGAGGAGACTCCTATCTCCAATTAGCTTCCAGAAAAGTTGGACATGGAACTGTTACCCAAGTGGCAGAGTGCTAGCCTTGAACAAGAAAGTTCAGGAACATTGGCCCAGGCCCTGAGTTCAAATCAGAGGACTGGCACAATTTAAAAAAAAGTTTGTCAATTTTTGCCCAATAAAAATATAGAACTGCTGGGTGCCTGAGGCTCATGCCTGTAATCCTAGCTATTCAGGAGGCTGTGACCTGAAAATCCCAGTTCAAAGTCAGCCTGGGCTGGAAAAAAAGTCGATCAGACTTTTTTTTTTTTTTTGTCAGTCATGAGGCCTGAACTCTGGGCCTGGGTGCTGTCTCTCAGCTCTTCAGCTCAAGGCTAGTGCTCTACCACTTGAGCCATAGCCCCACTTCCAGCTTTTTCTGCTTATGTGGTGCTTGCATACAAGGCAAGCACTCTACCACTGAGCCACCTTCCCAGCCCCTCCATGAGACTCTTATCTCCAATTTACCACAAGAAAACCGGAAGTGACACTGTGGCTCAAGTGGTAGAGCACTAACCTTGAGCTGAAGAGCACAGGGACAGCCCCTAGGCCCAGAGTTAAAAACCAACGACCAGCCAAAAAAAAAGATATAGATAGATAGATAGATATAAACACACACATATATGTGTGTATATATATGTATATACATATATATACTGTAATATATATATATATATATATATATATATATACACACACACACACACACACACTGTACCACAAGATTTAAAAAAAGAAATGAAAACCCAAATAGTAGGGCCAGTGAGAGCCAAGCCCAATCCTAGAAGAAACTGAGTATCACTTCAGCGGTGAATTATAATGTGCCAAATTCTGTTCTTTAAGCACAACAAACAATGACTAAGAATCCACCAAAGGCAGTGAGTGGGCTGGGATTCACAGACTGCTCAAGCTGTGTGCATTTTCAGGTCTCTGTTTTTACACAGATGTTTCTAATACTCAAACCAAACTTTTCCAAATAAAAATTAAATTCTCTATGGCACAAGAGAAAGAATATGAACAGCTGGGTACCAGTGGCTCACACCTGTAATCCTAGCTACTCAAGAGGCTGATATCTGAGGATCACAGTTTGAAGCCAGCCCAGGCAGGAAAGTCCATGAGACCCATATCTCCAATAAACCACCAGAAAACGAAGTGGCACTGTGGCTCAAGTGACAGAGTACTTGCCTTGAGCTGAAGAGCTGAGGGATAGTGCCCAGGACGAGAGAGTTCAAGCCCCATGACTGACAAAAAAACAAACAAAAAAAGAATATGACCAGCAGGAGTCTTCAACTCCTATTTTCTGAATAGGGAGAAGGAATTTTTTTCTCTCTCTCCTCCCTACTTCAACCTGTTATCCTAACATAAATCCTTGCTAAAACTTAAAAAAGAAAGAAATATCAATTATACAGGAGAATTTGTGTTCATTATGACCAAATATAGAAATAATGGCCTATATTTAATCAGATATTAGGCCATACCTGAAAAATAACTGAAGCAAAAAAGGGGGTTGGGGGTTGCTTAAGTGTCATAACACCTGCCTAGTAAGTGTGAGGAGGCACTGAATTTAAACCCCAACACTTAAAAACAATAACAACAATGACAAACAAACAGCTGACAAGCCAAGCTGAGAGGATCAACCAGATTTGATGCAGAAGCTCGCTCAGAAGCTTTTATTAACATAACTAAAACATCTAATTTCTGGTTTTCCTCTGGTCTTCATTTGTAAATCTAGTAAGCCATCAGAATTTTATTTTCACTGTGCTACATGATATTATTCAGCACTTAAATTTAGCACTACTGATATGAAGACATTCCTTACCATTAATTCTAGTACATTTTAGGACAAAGCAAGCATATCTAATTATCCAAGGAGCCCGCATGTCCTGCTTTCTGAGGTATGCTCAGACATTAACTTTAGCACCTCTGCACATCTGTGAGACAAGACTCAACAAATCACAGAAGGGAGAAAGTGAAATGAATCAGGGAAAATTTAACTCTAAACACCCAGACTTTTAAATGTAAACTTCAGGTCCTAGGCTAAATGCAGAAAATTAGGAAAAAGCAAATCACAATGGGAAATGAGAGGAGTCTACATAGCCCAGAAAAAAAAAAAACTTACTCAAAAACATGTATGAGTCTAGTGTTCCTGAAATCCTAGTGTCTAGAAAAAGATGAAGAATACAACAGTATGCAGCAATAAAAGAATATTTGATTCCTGATTTTTAGAATATATAATGCATACATTGACTTTACATCATCTGTAAACTCTGATTTAGAAATAAACTCTATTAATTATCTCTCTTACTTCTTTCCACCTACCACGGCAAGGAGGAAAGGTTGCTGTCCTCAAACTCAACAAGATAGACAAATATGCCACTAATAAAGCCACATTTGGAGGCCACTCATTACAAGAAGGGAGAAGCTCACCAGTTTGATGCCTGAGAGGACCTCCAGCAGAGAGATCAGGTTATGGCCATCCCGCAGGTCTTCATAAAGATCATTGATGTGCTTACGGACCTGCAGAGGAGAATAAAACAGGATAGTTTTAATTTGATCTGAAAATACTTTATTATCCTCAGAAGAATTTCTGGTTCTACATAACTATAAAGAATCTGAAACCAGAGCACTAATAAGATTATAAAATTTTCTGACTGGAATAAAATACATATGACATGGTAACAATCTGAAGTTGTGTTTTTCAAATTCACACACATTAAGCAACAATAAACAATATTCTATAAAGTCTGGACAAGGAGATAGGGATTGAAATGACCTAAAATTTTTTGGGAATTACTATGAGCCAAAATGGGATGGGGATAGCTAATGGTGAACATATGAGTCCAGCCAGTATCCAGCTTTGTGGTGTGCTAAAAGGGAATTAAATGCTAGGCACATACATTTCATAGAGTAGGCCTCTGATTTAACTCCTCTCTTACCAAATGCACTTGAGATTTATTTTCCGTGTGAGGAAATCAACTCCAATTTTCTAATTAAAACTAAGGAAAAACAGACCTCACCTTAAGGGGTAAAAAAGTGTGATTAATGTGAAACACTGAAATACATGCTTTATATGTCTTAATATGATCCTATTTTACACAGGAGGAAACAATTACAGAAATGAAGTAATTTGCACAAGGGAACCAAAGAAAAACATTGGCTCCAGATTAGTCTTTCTGATTTTTGGAACTTTTGCTGTTAACTAGTATGCTTTATAATAAGCCATTATCTTGTTTTATTTATTTAATTCAAACTACTGCCTTGTGACATTTACTTATTATCCAATTCCACAGAAGCCAGGGCACACAGTGGCTTAGGTCTTATGGTTCTTTCCAAGTCTAGTAACAACTCCACTGGTGATGCTAACAACACAGAACCAGAACAGACTGGAGAAAAAAGGCAGAACATGACTTAAAATTACATAAATAATTTAATTTTCTAGGTAACAATTTTTAAAGGCTAATCTTTAATAAAGAAGAAGAAGTCACACCTAACAGAGGAAGCAGTAAAAGTTACTATCTGAGAACTCAACAAGATGGACCAATACACCATTGATAGAACTACATTTTCAGTCCACTCATCAGAAAAAGCATATTTCTATTTACTAAAACTTTTCTGAGATTTTTTTAAGCTTTTATTCACAATGATTAAAAAAGTATAAAGGTTTTTCCAAGTTGATTTCCATTCTGTACTCAAAGTGGAATGTCAGCAAGTATGGTGGAGCCTTCCTGGAACCCAGTAATCCAGAGTCTGAGGCAATAGGATCATATTTAAGGCCTGTGTCCGTGACATAATGAGAGGAGGGGGGAGCAGCAGGTGGGAGAAGAGGAACAGAGAGAGCGATGAGGATGATCAGGTTGAAGTATTAAATATAAGAAAAACAGAACAATGAAATATTTTGAATTTGTTGTAGAAGGGAGAAAAGGGTAAAGGAGAATGATAAAGGGAGTAGGCTTGATCCAGGTAACACTGTATAAGGGAATTTCATAATAGAATACCCTACTTACACAAATAACATATGCTAATAAAGGTCCATAAAGAGTTGTGAGGGTGTGTGTGTGTGTGTGTGTGTGTTTTGTTTTTCTTTTAAGTAGAATATGGAGCCAGGCAGCAGTGACTCCAAACCTGTAATCCTACTCAAGAGGGTAAGATCTGAGGATCACTGTTCAAAGCCAACCCAAGTAGGAAAGTCTTTGAGACTCTTACCTCCAATTAACCACCAGACAGCCAGGAAGTAGAGCTGTGACTCAAATGGTAGAGCACCACTCTTGAGGGGAAAATGCTAAGGGACAACATCCAGGCCCTCAATTCAAACTTCAGTACCAGCATACACACACATACACAGACGCACACACACACACAACCCCCAAACAAACAAAAAGACACCTAACCCAGACTTGTAGATATTACTGATTTCCATGGTATAACCAGTCCTACCAATTTCAAGCTGTGATGTTGGGAAGAAACATATATGTTGCATGACATTGTATAGCATTTCCACCATAGATATAATACATTTAATTAATCTCATGAGCAAAAAAAATAACCTGCACTAAAATACCTATGTAGAGCTTTAAGTATTTCCTAATTTTATTCTAAATATAATTTAGTTATAAGCTTATAGAATAATCACTATGCTTAGCTATATAATTTAATAATTGCTATGCTAAGCAAGCTTAAAACTACTGAAGCTGTATCACATACCTCCCATGAGTCTACACAAGGTGCTCTACTGCAACAGTGGCTCAAGATTTCAATACCCCTCCCTCAAATGTGCCCAACAGGCGCTGGGAAGGTGGCTCAATGGTAGAATGCTTGCCTTGCATGCATGAGGCCCTGGGTTCCATTCCTCAGCACCACATAAATAGAAAAAGCTGGAAGTGGGGCTGAAGCTCAAGTGGTAGTGCACTGGTCTACAGCTAAAGAGCTGGGGGACAGCGCCCAGGTCCAGAGTTCAGGTCCTACAAGCGACAAAGAAAAATTGTGCCCAACATCTCAAGCTTGTGATGTGGAACAACCTTAGTGCACCACTGATAGAAATAAGCAGTTCTACCACTCGAGCCACAGCGCCACTTCCGGCTTTTTTCTTTTTTGCTTATGTGGTGGCTCAAGTGGTAGAGTGCTAGCCTTGAGCTGAAGAGCTGAGGGACAGCGCCCAGGCCCAGAGTTCAGGCCCCATGACCGGACCCCCCCCCAAAAAAAAAAGAAAAGAAAAGAAAAAAAGAAATAAGCAGGTTATAAGGCCTGGATTTGAGAAGTCCAACTTTAAATGGCAGTTAAGGAGTTACAAACAAATGTTATGGAAGTAGCTGGAGATACCAGAATTTAATCTGGGTCAGCTGAGATCCTAGGTCGTAGAAGTCATACATAGAGGTGTTAGCTAAAGACATGGGAAATGTTGGGCTTCTTCAGTGAGAAGCAAGAAAGGAGAACAGAGAGCTAATGATGAATTGAGCCTTAGGGAGTAGCTAAAATTAGAAGGCAGGAGATGGAAAAGCAACTAGCAAAGAACAGGAAATAACCAAGTGAACACAAGAAAGTGAAATAAAGGCAGGAATACTAGTAGCACTAAATGGTAAAGGAGGGGTGAAGGAGGAAGGAGAAAATTTTAAGTGTTCCCACAAATAAGTAAAAGTGAGAAAACTTTTTTAGAGTGATATAACACAAACCACGTCATAAATAAATGGTTGGTTTAAAAATCAGAAAGTAAGCAGGGCGCCAGTGGCTCACACCTGTAATCCTAGCTACTCAGGAGGCTGAGATCTGAAGATCGCGGTTCAAAGCCAGCCCAGGCAGAAAAGTGTGTGAGACTCTTATCTCCAATTAACCACCAGAAAACCGAAGTAGTGCTGTGGCTCAAGTGGTAGAGCACTAGCCTTGAGCTGAAGAGCTCAGGGACAGCACCCAAGCCCAGAGTTCAAGGCCCACTACAGACTCCCCCCCACCAAAAAAAAAAAAAAAATCCGAAAATAAGTAACTGTTTGACATTAAGGGTTAAGAAAAGAAGGGGCGGGCTGCGAAGGTGGCTCAGTGGTAGAGCACTTGCCTTGCATGCATGAGGCCCTGGGTTCGATTCCTCAGCACCTTATAAGCAAAAAGAAAAAAGCCGGAAGTGGCACTGTGGCTCAAGTGGTAGAGCACTAGGCGTAGAGCTGAGGGACAGCGCCCAGGCCCAGAGTTCAAGCCCCACGACTGGACCCCCCCCCCAAAAAAAAAAGAATAAGAAGAAAAAAAAGAAAAGAAGGGGCAAAACTAGGATAACTTTTTTAAAAAATATTTTACACACTTCACCATCCACATTTTAGGTATTATCACTTCAATAAATGATACATGTAAGCTGGGCACTGGTGGCTGATGCCTGTAATCTTAGCTATCCAGGAGGCTGAGATCTGAGGAATGTGGTTCAAAGCCAGCTCAGGCAGGAAAGCCTGAGACTTTTATTTCCTATTAACCACCTAAAAAACAGAAGTACAGCTGTGGCTACAAGTGGTATAACATTAGCCTTGAGCAAAAAAGCTCAGGGACAGTCCAGTTCTTGAGTTCAAGCCTCACAACCGACCAAAAAAGAAAGCACACACACACAGATGGACAGTGTAGTACTTATCTACAATCCCAGCACTCAGACTGAGGCAGGAGGATTTGGACTACAAAGTAAGACCACCTCTCAAAAATTTAAAAACCAAAACAGATATATATATTAATATATACATATATTAATATATATATATACATTAAAAGGTATGTATTTGTACAATCATGCTTTCATTCCTCCAAGAAAGCCAATATAACAACTTGGTATACACAATTCTGCTTTTCTTCCTCCCCCTTCCCTCCCCTGTGGATCATGGGGCTTTAACTCAAGGCTTGGACGCTGTCGCTGAGTTCTTTTGTTCAAAGTTAGAGGTTCTACCACTTGAGAGACAGCATCACTTTTGGTTTTCTCATGATTAATTGGAGATAAGAGTCTCATGGTCTTTCCTATCTGGGATGGCTTCCAACTGTGATCCTCAGATTTCAGCCTCCTGAGTAGCTAGGATTACAGGCGTGAGCCACCAGCGCCCGGCGCTTTTCTTTTTTTGAGTCAAGGGCTTCCTATGTTGGCCTCAAGAGATCTTTCTGACTCAGTCTCCTAATGAGCTAGAACCAGAGATATGTTTCCCTTGCAGGTTTTATTGTACTTGACATTGTTCTTCCATAAGTAATTACACTGGCTGTATTTTTCCCCCATTTAAAAATGCTCTAGGTAAGCAGGGGAAAAAAGAGATTTTATTCTTGATAAGACCTGTATATAGGTATAAAACTTGGGAGTGGGCATTAAATCATTATTTTAACAAATTAGAGTAGGGCTTGAGAGCCTAATGAAACTTGTTATCAGTAGAATATTAACACCACAGAAGACTGCAAATTAAAAGGAAGCATCTTAAGTGTGAAGTTAATTTCACATCAAGGCCTCAATGACTCCTCCCAAAATTCTAGTTTGGTTTTACACCTATGAGAAAAATTCAACACATTCTAAAGCA